GCCGCCCACGGGCTGGGGGCCAATTTTACACTCCTATTAATGTGAATTTTAACATGTCAATATGAATATTAACATTGTCAACGGGCTAGGCCCGCCCTGGCTCGCGGGCGGGTTTCGGGCCGCCCACGGGCCAATTTACATTCCTACAAATGTGAATTTTAAAATATGAATGTTCACATCATTAAATTGCTAATCGTTGAAAAAATATTTATAAGGGTATCAAAATTAAATATAAGGGCATAAGTGTCCAAGAAAATAATGTAAATCAAGAAAATGGACTTTATGGAATAAAACTATACATACATGGAACTAAATGGGTTAAAAAATTCCTCCATAGACTTCTTGGGTTAAAACACTTCTAAATTGGACTTATCAATAAAAATCCCATTTAAAAACCAACGTAAACTCATTTTTTGAATTTATATTTTTTTCCTTAAATTTACAAACTGAGACAATCATTTATAAACCAAAAAAAAATATTAAACAAGTTTTTATGACAGTTTTTTTAATTTTTATAAATATAAATTGAAAACTAAAAACGAAATGGTTACCAAATAGATCTCATGTGGTAAAAATATCGTAAAATTAACAAATAATTAAATAAGTTACCAATGTAAGAAATGGCTTATCAAGGTTAAGGGTAAATAAGTCGTTTTAACTTAAAAGTTAACACCGTCAAATAATTACACTGACAGGGAGGTCAATGTAATTTCTCAAATGTGAGGGGAGGAACTGTAATAAACATAAATCTCAGGGAGTTTTAGTGTAATTTATCCATAAATAAAAGTGATTAAAAAGTTTTTATATATATAAAATAAAAAAAATGAGGAAAATACAAATACATTCTTTAAAATTTATTTAAAATACGATTTGCTCCCTATAATTTTAAAATAACATCTCATTTTTTGAAAATTTTAATTTCATAACAAATGGTATCTTTTATTAATAAATCATCAAGTTAATCAACAATTTTAAATGATGTCAAAATTTTATTTTAATTAATAATTTAAGTAATTTTATCATTGTATCATACAGTAATTAAGGACTTTATTTTTTCAGTTAATTTTGTTAAATAGAAAATTTTGACGAGAGGATTTTTTTTTTTTTAAATCACATGAGATAATTCACATTTTAAACAAATCTTAAGAGATATATTTATAATTTATTCAAAAAATTAAAAGATCCATTATAGCATTGTTTACATTTGAAAATTAATGAAATTTGTATTCAAATATGTGAAAAATATATTATTTTACTGGAAAGATTTCATAACATTAGATTTTAGCTTAAAATTTTAAAAGTTATTATAAAAGTCAACAAATATCAACAAGTTAAAGATTCATTTTCATGCACTCTATTTTTTACACATATTATTTGTTAAAAATTAAAAAAAAAAATCGTTTCAAACATATATAGTTTTTTTCATCTTATATTTTAATCAAAAAAACAAAAATTCACTAAATAAACTTATTTTCAACCGAAACCTAAGTTGGAGGTCTATCGTAGATTTAGACTATATTCTTAGGTATTGTTTGATAAAACTGAAACTGAATACTAAAAATTAAGTATTGAAAACTGAATACTTAATTTTTTAAGTTAAAAAACTGTTTAATAAAAATTTAAATATTAAATTTAAAATAAGTTGTTTGATATATAGAAAATCAAATTGAAAAATTATTATTTTTAAATTATATATTTTAATTTTTATATTGTGATGGTCGTAGCAGTACTGGTGATAGTAGTGGTGGTAGTGGCATGGTGGTGGTAGTGGCGGTGATAACGATGGTAGTGGTGGTAAATGATGATGGTGTTTATGACAATGGTGATAAAGGTGATGGTAATAGTGGCGGCGTCGGTGGCATAGTAGTTGTGGTGGTAGTATTAGTGATAGTGGTAGTAATAGCGATGGGATGATGGTGGTGGTTGTAATAGTGGTGGCGGTGACAATGGCATGGTGGTAGTGGTGGTAGTAGCGGTAGTGATGGTAGTGGTGGTGGTAGTAATAATGGCGATGGCATGATGGTGGTGGTACTAGCAGTGGTGGTGGTGGTTTGTTTATAATAGTGTATATTGATAC